CTCTGGTCTATTAGAAAACACTCGATTTCACACATAACAGGCTCCCAGAAATATGTTCTCACAGAACAACAGGCCTACATGACTTCAAAGGAAGCCTGCTTCTACAGAGCTAAGAAGGGTGCTAAAGCCCAACGCCACGTCTCTTCAGAGCCCACCTTCGGGTGATCTCGTCTCAGCCTTTTGTACCTCTGCATTCTTGATCTTCAGAATAAAAGACACAGGAACCAAATCCAATGAAGCCAATGGAATGATCCATTGCCTCAGCAGACCTATTGATTCTCATCTTTATCTAAAATCTATGAAGGCCTAAAGTTATCAATTTTAAGACTCATGTTTCTACTTAGTTTCACAAAATATGACAAAAGCACAATAAAAATATCAGAATAATTGCACAGAATTAATGTAACTGCTCCAGAGTCTGGGGGCAAGAAATCTGCCGACAGGTAACTCCTGGCTGGCAGAGAGTACTCTGTAAGCCCACTCAGGTAGCCCCACCTCAGAGGTGTCCCCCATCCCGATGCCAGGCCTTTGTCCCAAATACCGGTCAAACCTCAGTCCTGAGGACCTTCTCACCTAAAACATAATCCTCACCCAGGCTCCTTGTCAAAGCCGCTTTGTGCCCTGGCCCCATCTTTAACCTGCAGAGTATGCATGGAATTCCCCTTCTTCCCAGATGGCCACCTCACCGTCTCAGCTTCCTTTTGGGGAATCTTGCTGGTTATAGAAGTCTTCCGAGACGGATAAAACAGTGAGCTGTACTTCTCCTTCCCCATTCAGTTGGGATTTGAAAACCACAAGAGTTTTTCTCATCACTCTGTTCTTCCCATCCCTTACAAGCCTCACTTTAGTTTTCTTTTTGTTTCTGTATTTTTGGTTTGTTTATTTGTTTGTTTTCTGAGACAGGGTTTCTCCGTGTTGCCATGGCTGTCCTAGTCCTAGAACTCACTCTGTAGACCAAGCTGGCTTCTCACCTGCCTCTGCCCCCTCAGTGCTAGGGTTAAAGGTGTACATCACCACTGCCAGGATAGTCCCACTTTCATAATTAGTTATTTTATTTTATTTATATTTATTTATTCTGGGTCTGATCTGAAGACCCTACCATCAGTCAATGCTACTGTGTGTGCTGCTGATAGCAGATTCATTTATATTCTTGCACTGTTTACAGTTTAAACTCCATTCTGCCTAAAACCTCAGCCTGGGTCTCCTCTCTCAGCCCCTGCCAAGTGCACATCACACTGTGACGATCGGTCTTGCAGCAATCAGATAAACAAAAGTACGCACACAACTATGTATATTCATTTACATGTGCGTGCTAACCTGTACATGTGCATACACACACGCATGCACTTGTGCACACACACGTTTCCCTCCTCCCTAGCACTAATTCACCCAGAGCCTTTGACTTCAGCTTAAGTTTCTATATAAAGCAAAACTTTAATCCCACCAAAAAAGAAAAGAAAATGGAACCTTCTGGGCTTGGGGCAAGGTTTTTCGCAAATAGCGTAACCTACAGATGCAGAACTGAGAAAATGAGGTATCCAACACCCTGCCCTCACACTTTGAATCAGTGAGATACCTTCTTAGGCAATCCAAAAATGCAGATCATTTTATACTATCCATTTTTGAGCATGGTAGAGAGGCAATTATTCCCCCAAGCAGTCACTAGGGTACGGTTCTACTTGGAAACCTCAATTTTCCTCCCAGGCACAATTCAACACTGACAGGGGGAAGCGGGGAGGGGAGTCAATACTGGAAATGTCAGAGATTTCTCTGGCCAGTGTCTCAGAAATCTATTCAGGCTCCTGTACTTCTGTTCTCTGCGTGCAGACCAGAGATAAGCACCGTTTTCCTGCCCTCACCTCGGGTCATTTTCATTATTCTTCACTGTGGATGTTCTTTCTTTAAAGCCGTAAAATGGAAATGCTCGCCTGCTCCCGCAAAAGCGGAGCCTCAGACAGGAAGAGCCCTGTGTGGGGCTCTGTAAATAAGGAGCTCTCACTGGGAGGAAGGGTCCCAAGACGGGGCAGACCTCACTTCCAAATGCAGGTGCCCGGCGATGGCGGGGATGGCGGGGATGGCGTCTGAGCCTCACACTAAGGAAGACTACAGGGTCCAAGGAGTTTGTTCACATTCTTCTGAGCCACCAAGGTTTAGGGACTTCCCTGATTGCCCCGAGGCTCTGCTACTGTAGGCCCCCACTTCCCTCCAGTCCTTTGTCGGAGCCTCTTAAGGCTTCACCCCTGATAATGAGACTGCTGTGAAGCTAAGTTTGCCTCTGTGAGCCTGACTTTCTCCCGTGGGGATTTCTTGTGTAGCTTTGAAAACCTCAGTAGCTCCCAGCCCCAGCCTTCCCACTTGAATGTCTGCTGAACTACCCTCACCACAGGGCCATAACCAGGGCCACCTGCACCATCATCCTTTATGGGCTATTTTTTTCTTAAAATTACTTATCAAAATTGCCATTAGGCATTAAAAGGAACCAGTAGCCGCACCACTCACCACAAGTGGAAAAACCACTCAGAAATGAGCTCACAGCAAACAAAATCATGTCACGGAATCTCAGCTAGTCATGTATTCCTAGCTGAAGATCCCAAGTTCAAGGCCAGCTCCCTCTTCCTTAAGTAAGGAGACTGCTGAGTCCTGCAGAACACTGCCCAAGACTTGAATACAAGGGGTAAAGAAAAAATTTAAAAGGGAAACATCTCTGATGTTATTCATTGTCACTGTATAGGTCACCAAATGTCACTTCTGGTATGCATGATAGACAATCCCACTGCCCTCCCTAAAAATGTAGACAGAACATCCAATATACACTCTACACAAAAGAGAAGGATACTTAAATGCTTAAAAACACCAGAAAAGAAATGTACACCCACAGCTTAAAAACAAAAAACATTAAAACCTACAGTAGAAAAGTATCTAGGAGAGTCTTCCTCCAGTTTAGCACCCTAAATAAGGAAAACCCCAGATTCAAAGTTCTGAAAATCAGACCTCGCATCACACCCCCAGAAAAAGACTCAGCGTTCAACCAACAGCTTCACAGGTCAGTATCCTGATAGGAAATGCCGTGTGGTTATTAGTTTTGAAGAAGCTGGCATCTTTGTAAGCAGTATTTGCCAACCCCCAAAACCTCAGGGCTTCCCTTATGCATCAGTCCCCACCCGGACACACCCTTCCGATGGGCCAAGGGGTCGCCCCCAATGCCAAAAGACAGCTGACATTTACAGGTTGACTGAAACCACACGGACCCTGTCTCTTTGAAATGTCAAGGCAGAAAGCAGCCAGGCCCAGCAGGCTTCTTCAGGATTGGTGAAAAAAGAAAAAAAAAAAAAAACTTCTCAGAAGGCTTCCTTCTGAGCACTCAATAGAGACCTTCAGGGGGCAGAGTGCGGCAGAGGCTGACCTTTGAGAGAAGGGCAACTGAGGTGATTCACCCTTGGGACTCTAGTCACATTCTGAGTCCTCAGGATCCCCCCACCCCCACGCCAATAACAGAATCTGAGGAGGACCTGAGTTAACTCCAGGTTTCCACCAGATCTCAGTCTGTCGAGGCTTAGAGGTAGTTAGTGTTTCCTGCATGTGTGTGTGTACAAGTGTGCACACACATGCACATGTGTAACGCACTGGTGTAAAGCTGATTGACACCTGTCATTTTTTAAAAGTGGACGTAAGAGTTTGACATTTCTTGATACTTGAGTAGAAAAACAAAATGATTTCTGGGGTTTTTTTAGCAACAAAATTCTCTTCGGGTTTAAAATTGTGCTCTACTTGGACATGAAATAATACAAAACAAACTGCCACCGAGATATTTACATTCCTTTCCCATTCAAACGGGTGGCTGGCACTTCGGGAATGCAAATAAGAACCAGCATAAATTTAACAAAAACTATTATTTTGTGCTGGCCAGTAAAAAGTAATGAATTCATTTTAATTAACAAGCAATTCATTTAACCCTACAGTACCACTATAAGGGTATGTCCTAAAGGTTACGTCCTGGCTTTGGAGAAAAGGAAACTGAAACAGAGACACAACAACTCGCCCATAGTAATCAGTAAACAGCTGCGCTGGGTCCTGAACCTAGGTAGCCTGCCTCAGTGAGCCATGATCTTGACTGCCACGCTATGTTGCCTGCTACGGCTAGCATTGAGTTCTCCGCTGCTATTATTTCATGCAAACCACAAAATGAGGTAAACTGAGGTTCTCATTTTACAAATGAGGAAACTGAGAGACAGACATAAAACAGCCTGCCACGCCCCGACGAAGCAAATGAGTGAGAAGTAGAGACTGCTGAACCCAATGCTGCCTTCAATGGACTAGGAGGCTTAGTGACCAGAAGTAACCTGTCTAAGGGGCACATAGACCTAATCCAACTAAACACCGCACATAGGGCAGGAAGGGCTGAGGGCAGGGAGGGAGTCAGGGGCCTCTGGGTGAAAACCATGTCTTCAGTAGCAGTGAGCTGATTCTGTCTGTTCCCTCCTGTGTCCCTGGGCTGAACAGTGCGGCTGCCCCGAGACTACCTGACATGCAATACACGGCCCACAAAAAAGAGGCAGACAGGAGAAAGAGTTGCCTTCTCCCAAGCAGGCCATGCAGATGTTTGCACAAACACAAGACCAACACCACTCTTCTCACTTCTTTTTGTTCTGGAAACTCTTCTTTTTTCCCTCATAAAAGTGCTCTGTATTCCTCTGTGAGTTAATTAAGACGTACTGGCTGTGTATTCTTCTGTGAGTTAATCACATTGCGAAGTCTCTGAGGCTCAGTTCCTCATATGGTAAGGACAGACAGAACCCAAATGAGCACCAATCTTTGACAATACAAGTTTGGGACCCAAAAGCCCGAGACTGAATGCAAGAGACCGGATCTCCACTAACATCTGTGAGCAAGCTGGCCCAGCAGCCTCCTATAGCCACATATAACTGTAGACATTAAAGGACGCCCTTGTTGGTACGGCAACTAACTGCAAGGAGGATGCGTGCTGGGGCCCCCGAGCTTACCTGGAAATAGTCTGAAATGAAGGATCCAAGTTCACTCTTCAGCAGCCGCCTGGGGAGAGAGAAACACAGAACCACAGTCAGGCAGCTGTCGGTGTGCTAACAGCTCCTGAAGGATGACAAGGGGCTCATCGCTGATGACAATGTGCTTGCCAGTCCCACAGGGATGGAATCTAGGCCTGAGGAGGGAGGACGCTTTCCTGGGTCCCGGTAGCGCTCCACCTCCATAGCCACCGCAGTAATAACATTTACAGACACTGTGTAGTCTAAACCACACTTCCCCCATCCAAAGATGGAAAGTGTGTGCAGGACGGTATGGTTACAACTACTGTAGATAGAGAAACCATGTTCACCCCCATCCTACACATTAATCCAACAGTCTAGGTTCAAAGCTAGAGCTTCTGCAGGCTGAACATCGTTTCCTATAACTCCACCTCTCCTCTCCTTTAACTCCATCAGGGATGCCCAGACTTGAAAGTCTCCTTGAGGATATGATGGGGTGGTCTCACTATTCATCTCGAATGTACTGAGGCAATCTGCAAAAGGGACCACAGTGAGGAGAATTGGGTTTCTGGTTACCTAGGCAACACATTTACTGAGCTGCACTATATGTTCCCACATATTGTTCTAGCACTGGAACCACCAAGGTGAAGAAGACACACGAGGTCTCTGCTCTCATAGTTTCTACTCTTGGGTGGAGGATGTGGACAGAGACAACATGGTAGCAAATTTACAAGATGATGTCAAAGCATCTTAAGTTCAAAAATATAAATGAGTAGAGATTTGGGCACCAGGCTTCTTCCCCTTTCACAAATAATGGGCCCATCCCTACCGATCCATCTTGAATTTGAGCCAGACAAGAGGAGAAAAAGCTAAAAACAAGAAAAACTGGCTCCCAGTAAGTTCTCTAGGGAACAAAGTCTCCCTGACTCCAGTGTTCTCACTGCCCCTCCCATCTGCTATGGTTATTAAGGCGCAAATACTCAAATTTCTGACAATCTTGCTAGGTATTATCTTCCCTCAAAACATGCTCACACATGTCACTAAAGAACAAACAGGTGGTTACGGCAATATGTCGTTATGTGCATAAAACCTGGACAAGAATTTGGGGACAGCCGGGTGGTGGTGGCGCACGCCTTTAATCCCAGCACTTGGGAGGCAGAGGCAGGCGGATCTCTGTGAGTTCGAGACCAGCCTGGTCTACAAGAGCTAGTTCCAGGACAGGCTCCAAAACCACAGAGAAACCCTGTCTTGAAAAACCAAAAAAAAAAAAAAAAAAAGAATTTGGGGACAGAACAAGAGAGAAACGCTCATGTTTGAAATTTTCAAAAAAGCTTGGAAAGCTGAAACACATGGAGAATACCGCCCTTTCCCCAGAGCAGAAAACACGTTAGAGAGTAGTTAAAGCATCTTGAGATTCAACTTAATGGCAGGCAACCTAGGAACCACTCCAGCAATACAGCCCAGGGGTTCTCGGGATGTGGGCAAGTCTAACGAGAGATGGAAACATCAAAAGTTCCTGGGCCGGGACTAAAGAGATGGCTTCACTGTAGAGGACCCAGGTTCTGTTCCAGCAGCCACGTGGAGGCTCGTGAGTCTGCTATTCTGTACCTCTTTCTTATAGATGCTGCAGGTGAGGCTCAGAGAAGGGTATTCTTTGTCTAAGAACAGAGCAAAAGGTGGACCAAAGCTTTGCCTAGGCCACCGGGCCACAGAACAAAGTCTCCCGGATTATACTATACATATATAACCACCTGTAACTCTAGTTCCAAAGGATCCTATGCCCTCTTCTGATCTCCATGGGTACTAGGCATACATGTGATGCACATATAAACATACAGACAAACACTCACACACATAAAGTAGAAATGAATTCATCTTGCTTTAAAAAGCCATTGGGCTGAGCACACATGGGAGGGAAAACAGAACTGAGTGGCCGGCACTACATGCATGGAAGTGTCAGAGAAGAATGAAGCAAGGGGTCCGCTTCCGATCGAGAACGAAAATGCCCCTTGACAGTCTCTGCAGCCATCAGTAAGTCTCAAGAGTATGGGTGAAAAGTAGACATGTTTGTGGAAAAGTAGAAGAGTCTAGTGCTATCAGCTAGCCCACTTCTCAAAGATGAGACATGGTTTGTGAGCACCAGGCTCATTTCTGAGTATATTCCTATACATTCAGAACGATATTCTCGAAGACTAGTCAGTGAGATGCTGTTATAGTAACATCTGCCTCTGAAAAGAAGAAATTAGGCTTTTGGGTTACAGTAAAGATTTTCCACCTTGTACCCTTTTCATAAGTGTGTGTGTGTGTGTGTGTGTGTGTGTGTGTGTGTGTGTGTGTGCATCAGCACATGTTCATGTGGGTTCATATGCACATCGAGACCAGAGATCAACCTCAGGTGTTCCTCAGAAGCCATCCATCTTGTTTTTTGAGATAAGTTCTTTCTCTCTCATTGGGACTCATGGCTCAATGATTCAACTAGGCTAGGTAGCTGACCACAAGCCTCGGGATCCTCCTGGCTCTGCCTTCCCAGTACTGTGATTACAAATGAACACCATGCCCAACATTCACAAACCCACTGGGACCACACTCAGCTCTGTCTGCTTATACAGCAAGATTTTACCACCGAGTCATCTCTCCAGCCCCAGCTGTAACATGTTTGAACTGTATGGGGACACTCTTGTTCAAAACAACTTTTCATAAAATTCTAAAATTAACAGTAACCTCCACCAAGCTTACTGAGGACGATCTGAAACCCAAGAAAGGACTGTGGGAGGAAGTTCCAAGCAAGGGCACAGTGTCAGGGAGCAGGGCGGCATAAGGTGACAGAATACTGGAAGTCCTAGGAACCTGCCCTTCCAGCCCTGCCTGCACTGGTAACATGAGAATCACTGATCCAAGGGAACACAGACGAGGAGGAGGTGAAGAAAGAGGGCCGAGGCCAGGGGAGCGGAGCAGTGCTAGCTGGTCAACCTGCGGGTAGATCACAGCGAGCCAGGTTACACAGCTGCCTCTACACTGTCTATTCTGCTTGTCCTTGTCTAACAACGAAAGGACACCTCTAAAGAAAACTTGACTCACATGTCAGTCAAACTGAGAGTAAGAAGTGCTTCCATACTCCCACCTCCTCCAGAACCATCCTGGCCGTAAAAACTTATGAAAGACACACTTGTACCCCCACCCCCACTACCTAGTCCAGACTATTGACACGATAGTCCCCAAGGAATTGGAATTTCCCTAGGAACCCCATGTTCAAATAAGGAAAATGCTGAATCCTGATGCCAGCCAAAGGGGACACTTGCACATGTAGTTTGTCAATGCACAGGACAAGTTTGACCATCTTAGGACAGTCTGGGACTGAGACAATGACAGGGCAGTGATGGTCAGGACCACACCTTGACCAAAACTGCTTAATTATGCACAACTCTGATCTACTACTTAAGCCTAAATCTTTTGGCAGAACCCCAAAGATGGACTTGGGGAGTCACTAGATATCTTTGCTCCCTCCTCTTCTTCCTCTTCTTTTTGTTTATTTTTTGTTTTTTGATTTGTTTTTGAGATAGGGTTTTTCTGTATAACACCCCTGGCTGTAGAAAAAAGTTTCTGTCCCTCCTGGTCCCTGCAGCCATTCAGTCCCAAAGAAACACAAAGAGGCTTATATTAATTATAAACTGTTTGGCCTATTAGCTCAGGATTATTACTAGTTAGCTCTTACAACTTAAATTAACCCATAATTCTTGTCTGTGTTTAGTCACGTGGCTAGGTACCTTGTCTCAGTGTAGCATTCTCATCCCACTCCTCTGCGTCATCTGGGTGATGACTGTAGACTGAGCCTTTTCTCTTCCCAAAATTCTTCTAGACTGATCAACCTACCTATACTTTCTGCCTGGCTCCTGGTCAATTAGCATTTTAGTAAACCAATGCGAGTATCAAATATTAACAGTATACAAGAGCATTATCCCACAGCACCTGGCTATCCTAGAACTTAATTTGTAGATTAGGCTGGCCTCGAGCTCAAAGATCCCCCTGCCTCTGCCTCCTGAGTGCTGGGATTAATGTTGTGTACCACTATGCCCTGCTTTTCTTTGCTCCCTTTTCAACATGACTGCACTGAATTAATCTCCTTTTTCTGCTTCTCAGCATCACTTGCTTTTCCAATTAGCTGTTGATGACAGGTCTAGCTTGTTAGGGCAGCCAGGGCCCAGACTCTGATCCTAACACATGAAACACTGCCATCTCCAGGGCAATCTAGACGTTGTCCCTCTTATGGCACACCCTGCACCCCTTCCCCACTAAAACAGAAAAGAGCAACTGACAGAGAGAATAGGAAGTCGGCTAACTATTTCTTTGATCTATAATAATTTACTAGAAGCCTATTAGGTATTAGATACAATGCTGGGCAAAAAAAAAAAAAAAAAAAAAAAAGGAAAGGAGACAGAATATACAAGGGTCCTCTCCTCACTGACCACACCCTCATTCAGAAGCTGAGGTTTCTTTAAAGATTGTTCTGGGGGCCTGAGTTGGAACCCTAGAACCCAAGTTTAAAACAAAACAAAACAGGCATGGTAGTGTGCACTCGTAACCCCAGACTAAGGAAGTGGGGACAAACATGACCGCTGGGGCTCGCTGGCCAGACAGCTAGAACTGGTGAGGCTGGTCCTAAGAAACAAAATGGACGGCTCCTAAGAAATGATACCCAAACCCGGCGATGGTGGTGCACGCCTTTAATCCCGGCACTTGGGAGGCAGAGGCAGGCAGATCTTTGAGTTCGAGGCCAGCCTCGTCTGCAAAGTAAGTTCCAGGACAACCAGGATAGTCAGGACTGTTACACAGAGAAATCTTGTCTTGAAAAGAAAAAAAAAAGATTGCCTTGGGTTCTCACACATGCACATTACATATATAAACACAGAAACAGACACATATACACATACAGACATACACAGAGGTACACACACATGCATACACACAAACACATATACACTGAGGTACACATACATTTACACACAGACACCCACGGACACACACAGAGACATTACATACATGTACCTAGAT